AGCAATCAAACACAGAGTGCCTATCATCACACGTGCATGCGTCCAGCTAAGAATTCCTTCTCACTCGTAAATCTGTTGTATCCTTCCAGAAGGCTCTGGGGCACTCTTTTAACTTGAGCTGGACGATGTCAAGTCTCATTACTTTTGCTACAGCATAATTACAAAATACATTAGTTCTAGCCCTGATCTCTCTTCTAAAGTAGAACCACTATTTTCAGTTCTCTAAAACAGGCGTCCCCAACCCCCAGACCACGGACTGGTCTGTGGCCCATTAGAAACCAGGCTGCATAGCAGGAGGTGAGTGGCAGATGAGCGAGCAAAGCTTCATCTATATTGACAACTGCTGTTCCCCATCGCTAGCATTACTGCCTGAGCTCTGCCTCTGGTCAGAGAAGAGCCATATTAGATTCTCGCAGGAGCGCAAACCCTATTGTGGACCGTGCATGTGAAAGATCTAGGTTGCACACTCCTTATGAGAATCTAATGCCTGATGATCTGAGGTGGAACTGAGGCAGTGATGCTAGCACTGTCTCCCGTCAGCCCCAGATGGGAGTTGCAGGAAAATAAGCTCAGGGCTCCCACTAACTCTGCATTATGATGAGATGTATAATTATTTTGTTATATATTACAATTTAACAATAACAGAAATGGAGTGCACAAAACATGCAGTGTGCTTGAATCATCTCCAAACCATCCCTTCCCCACAGTTCATGGAAAAAATTGTCTTTCACGAAATTGGTTCCTAATGCCAAAAAGGTTGGGACTACTGCTCTAAAAGATACTCTAGTCTGACCATCCTGCAGATTCCTCAAAAATTTTTATATTCTTAATACTGGTCCTGATACTATCAAGATATAAGATTTGCAAATAAATTCCTTCTTTCTGTGTGGTCTTTTTTACTTTTTTGATGGATTCCTTTGAAGTACAAGTTTTTAATTTTGATGTCGTCCAGTGTAGCTATTTATCCTTTTGTTACTTAAGCTTTTGGTATCATATTTTAAAAAACACTGCTAAATCCAAGATACCTCAGATTTTATACAACCTGACTCCCAGGCTAGGGTTGGTGCTAGGTGCCATTTTGAGGGGCTCCTAATGGCACCTAGAACAGAACTAACCCCATTACCTGTCCGCTGGCTGTTTACATGTCTGTCACCCCCACTGAGCTCTGAAGGTCAGGTTGTTACTGCCATCACTGTATGTACAGAACCTACTGGACACCTGGCAGGAAGGAATCTCCCATTTCTGACTGGGCAACAGGTGAAGTGTGTTTAAGGATTGAATCTTGGCTAACCTGAGACCGTCAACCAGGGCCATATGTAGGGAAAGTTTGGCCATAGCTAGCAGAGGTTAAGTTTCCAAGTGTTCTGTCATAGTTAATGGAGGCCAAGTTTTCAAGTGTTCTGTGTCACTTCCACTTTGATGTATATGTGTTCTCGGAGATATGCATTTGTTCTCCTTTCTCAAGTCTGCTGAGAACAAAATGAAAAGAAATATAAAAGAGATTAAGCAGTGGCTTGCTTTGGTAAATTTGGATTACTGACCAAAGTATTTTCAGGTGGTTTCTCTTCTACCTGAATATACAGCCGCGAACAATAACTAATACATTTTTTTTTTTGTAGGAGGAAGTATATGTTTCTACTAAATAAAATTTAGTAGGTAAATGTAAGAATAAGGTACAAACAAGAACAGTTCTTCAAATAACTAGCACATGGGTGAGATGTAATAAACACTTGGGTTTTAAGGCTATTAAATATTCAAGGGAAGGGAAAATACCACTTTTGAAAGAGTGAGTGGAGGAGGATGTTTAAATGTTTGCTTATTGCATTGTGTATTCTTTTTATTTTTTATTTAATCGATACTTTTTATTTTGATATTGTGGGGTACAGTTAAGGGTTAGGTATACAAATATGCTTCATTCAGGCCTCCTTGTTGATAACTGTCTCTAGACAGATGTTTACTACCATTAGTCCCATCCCCCCCCCCATAGTTTCCCAACACTGTCAGTCATTTTCTTATAGTAGTGCATTGGATGATCAAGGTCCACTATATGAGTGAGAACATGTGGTACTCAGATCTTTGTTTCTGTGAGAGGTCACTTAGTATTATAGACTCTAGCTCCATCCAGGTTGATGCAAAATTCATGATTTTGTTCTTTTTTATGGCTGCATAGTATTCCATCATGTATATGTACTACAGTTTTTTTATCCAGTCCTCTTTTGATGGACAGTGTGGTTGGTACAACCCCATTATAAAGTGGGCAAAAGATATGAACAGACACTTCACAAAGGAAGACATCCGAGCAGCCAACAGACACATGAAGAAATGTTCGACCTCATTAATCATCAGGGAGATGCAAATCAAAACCACACTGAGATACCACCTAACTCCAGTCAGAATGGCAATTATCAACAACTCAAAAATAACAGCATTGTGTATTCTTATAACCATTATATAAGATAGGGTGGTTGCCCAAGTTTACAGGCATAGAAGTTGAGACTGAGAGGCTCAGTGACTTGTTCGAGGTCAAAGATTTTGTAAATGATGCCAGTGGAAAACCCTCGTTGTGACTCCAAACCCACTATGGTCCCCATTATAAAATTCTGCCTCTAAGTGTGTCCAAATGAACGATAGAAAGATTGCATGAAGGAATTATTTTTTTTAAAACATGTTAATGTGTATCTATCAGACATGGCAGGAAGGAAGTTCAAGAGATACCGAAGAGTTTGCCACTTTTAGAAGCTATGAGTGAGAAATAGCTAACACTTTAATAAAGGGGCATACATGTCCCAAGTACTGTGTGAAACATTGTAACATATATTGACTTATTTAACCCTCAGAACAATACCAAGAGTTAGGTTCAGGTATTATTTCTATTTTGTAGAGGTAGAAGTGGGTCTAAGAGTAGCTGAGCTATATATTAAAGGTCACACCACTAAGAGAGAGGTTGTCAGCATTTAGCTCTGGGCAGCTCTGGTACAGCATCTGGGCTTTTCATGTGTGATATACTCTTTGATGAGTAGGAATTAAACGGACTATTTTTTAGATATTCTTTCTGGGTTTGAGGAATATACATGAAGAAATGTGTATGCGAGATGTTCTAATATGAGTATATGACTGGATCTAGAGGCAAGGAAACTGGAGTTTGCCTCAAAACCATAAGAATGGCTTAAGAGATATAGAAGATAATGGACATATGAGCTAAGGTCCCAATTCCAAGGAGACTTAAACACCCCGTTAGCCAAGGGGGTTTTTACTTCTAGAACTTCCAGTTTTATTTGAGTTGTCACTATTCATTACCCATAGACGGTGAAAGCTACATGAATAGTGTTATCTATATGTTTTTTAGTTGGGGGTCTCACCAATAGGGGTCTCACCCTGTTGTCTAGGCTGGAGTGCACTGGCACAATCACAGCTCAGTGTAGCCTTGACCTCCTGAACTTAGCTGATCCTCTGCCTCAGCCTCCCGAGTAGCTGGGACTATAGGTGTGTGTCATTACACCTGGCTAACTTTTTGATTTTTTTGTAGAGACAGGTCTCGCTATGTTGTCCAGGCTGGTCTTGAACTCCAAACAGTCCTCTGGCCTCGGCTTCCCAATGTGCTGGGATTGTAGATGTGAGCCACTGTGCCTGGTCGGTATCTATTTTTTGAAATGTTTTTGTGAAATGATTATCAATCAGAAGGTATAGATGAAACCATATATAGGAGACCAAACTCCTATGGCTTACCAACTTGACCAAATGCTGAGCCTCACACACCTGCCAACAAAACCAAAGTATTTGTGTCAAGCTCATGAGATTTTAGATGTTTTTGTCTTCCAATATTTTTAAACTGTGGCTTTATAATAAAGAAAATATATCAGAATTAAGTAAGAAGGACTTCTCTGTAGAATGGGTCCTGAAAGCACATAGCAAATTGTCATAAAGGCATTTCATTGGACCAACTAGTGTCCCTGCTAAAGACCATGAAACACATCATAGAAAAAGAAAAGACACTATTTAAGAAATCAGTGGTTGTGCCACAGAAATGTCCCTAAAGCCTTTGCTCCCTTGTCGCAATCGTTAACAACAATCAAAACCAAGAAAAGCAAAAACCAAAAGAAAAAAAACACTTGGGCTGGACTTGCAAACACAGTAAGAGTCTTCTGCTCTGTTTTCCTTCCATTCCTTCTTCTGCCTTCTTACTGCTTGTCCTCCATTTACATCTCTGACGTCTTTTCCTGGCTTCCTCTCCTCTGTCAAGGTCTTAGCTGTAAAATTTTCTCCAAGTGTCAAGACACTCCTTGTTCAGTCTTCTTTCCCTCCACTAACAAAGGCACTATCAAAACTTTAAAACTCACCACAGTGGAAACACTTTCTGAATCTATCCAGGTCTGGTCCCTTCCTCTGTGTGTGTCTCTATAGAAAGACATGTTGAGATTCCCTACCAGGACCTCAGATGCAAATGAAAATTACCTCAATGCATCTAAACCACCTTCCTATTCAATTGTCAATAGCTTTCCAAGGCTTATAGGAAATCACTGAAGCTCCTCAGTGTGACACTTAAGTCCCCCCACCATCTGACCCCTTCTTTCCTACAGCACTTTTATCTCTCTCCCTGCTTCCCAGCAAGATGTATGGATCTGGCAATGCTGACCCAATGAGACAGACTGGGAATGAGATAGAGCTGGGATCAAATCCCAACTCTTCTACATACATGCTTTGTGACCTGGGGATGGCTCTGCATCCACTCTGAACCTCAGTTTTCTTATGTGTGAAATGTGAGTAAAAATAATAGTACCTACCCTGTAGGGGTGTTGTTAGAATGAAATGCAATAACACGGGACAAAGGCTTGGCAAAATGCCTGTCACAAGATAGTACCCTATAAATAGTGGTTATTATAATTATTAATAAGCATTGAATACTATCCCTGTGCATAGCTCTGTTCCAGAAACTTTTGGTAGAAACTTTATATTTTGATTTGCTGTCTTCGATCACAAAGTAGTGATGATCTGATTCTCACCTCTGCGCCAAATTCAGTCTCCAGTTCTTTCTCCTTGGGACTTCTTAAGCGCCTGGGTCGAGGAGCGGGAATTTCCTGCAGCAATGCACTTTCTGCTTTAGACTGAAAAAGTCAAACAGAAAATTACTGTTATTTAATACCAGGAAAGCTGTGAAACAGTCAGTTAAAAAATACATGCTATACCTCTTTAAGGTGTAAGAGCAAGGAAAATGGTCTAGAAAAATGACGTTAAATTCTTAAGCATAACTTTCATCTGTGCCAAATGCAAAATACGACATTAACATTTAAGACCTGAAAGACAAATGAAATGGTATTCAAATCCATGCAGTCTGGAGCACACAAAGCAAGTTAGACAACCTTGGAAAACAGCAATCAGCACTGAACAGAATATTCATGCAGTTTGTCTCACCCTTGCAGCTTGTAATTTCTCCCTCATGCGTTCCCTCATGGAAAATTCTGCAAAACCTGTTCTGGAACCTGAAGGAATTGGAGGTAAGCCTAAAAAAATAAAGAAAAATTACCCTAAGACATTTTTTCCCCCAAAGGGAAAATTAAATTAAAAAAATAAATGAGAGAATGTAATTTTATTTTGCAAACTTTGAATTGACATAAGCAAACATGAGATAATGTGATAAGTATCCTTTTGACGAAATAAGTACATGTCTTGGCTTCTCTGAGACTCACAGCAAAAACCTTGGTCCTGCCAGGGACTGTCACCTTGACTCAACTAAGAATAAAATGAATGGCACTTGACTGTTCAGGACACACAAACACTTACCAATTCAGTTGCCATTAGGAAAAAGCTCTCAAATTCATTGATTTCAGAAATGGGCTTGTCAGGCAAATGAGTTCAGCGTTTAACTTTCAACAGCACTGATAACTTTGATCAAAGAAAACTAGAGACAATATAGGTTTTGCACATTTTAAAGGTATATGTACATATCACGAACTATTGGACAGCTATTATATGTCAGGCACTGTAATACCTATGTTGAAAGCATTTTCTCATTAGTCTGTATGCCATCCTACTAGATGGGCCCAGGGATGATCATCACCAATATTGTGAAGATGAAGGCTCTATGGACCTGTGTGCCAAATGACTTGGCTCTACCATTACACATCTAAGATCTGGAATGCTTCCCAATTCTCTAAGCCATTACAAAGGAGGTAGAAATAAAATGGAGCCTTTGGGGAACAAATGTTAGTATGAGTGAAATAGAGTGTTTCTTCTGGGGTAGAGGAGAAGATAGCATTGCAGAAGGACTTTGAGTCAAGTTATGGGAAGCTTCTGATGTCACAAGCTTCTAATGTCAAGCTTCTGAGTCTTGACCATATTCTCCAAGCAGTGTGGATGCCTTGAAGAATGTAGAGAGGAGGAAGTGAATGCCAGCAGCATTTTCAGAAGTTGCACTTCAAACTGCAGGTACAGGATGAGGGGCTGGAATGAGTGAGGCACCAGGGACCTTGGTGTGAAATAATAAGGAAAGGGGATCAGTGGGGGTCAGTGAGAGACACCACAAAAAAAGGAAAATGCAAGAGAATCCAGGGGTGACTGGCAGACAAGGAGTAAGGGCTCTCACAAGAAGTAGCAGCATCTTCTGGGAACTTGTAGATATTCAAATTCATAGGCCACGCTCCAGACCTCCTGAATCAGAATCTGGAAGGACAACCCAGCAACTGAGAGGGTTCAAACACACACTCAAGCTGGAGGACCCAGTTATAGAGAAAGAAGGAGAAAGTGAGATGTCTGAGGTTTTGACTGAGGTGGTTGGTGTCTGATGCTGCTGAATGTCAAAGAGAACAAGGAGGGGAAGCCAGCCTGGGAGGTGCTGGAGTGAATTTGTCTGGGGCCAGGTGTATCTGAGATGCTTGTCCAGGACACTGAGCTCTGGGAAAGGGGCCAGACACAATGGTAAGGACTTGGGAAGACTTGGCCAATGAGTGCTGAAGCTTTGAAACTAGACTGTTTCTTGAGAGAAAGTAGGGTCCTGACACTTTGGACAACAGCACTTTTAAGGAGGGAGGCAGCAGGTAAAAGAAGAGACAGGGTAGAAGGAAATGCGGCAGAGAGAAGGAAGGAAAGAGAAGCAAAGAAAATGGATTTGCAGCCGGGTTCGGTGGCTCAGCCTGTAATCCCGTGCCTTTGGGAGGCTGAGGTGAGTGGATTGCCCGAACCCATGGGTTCGAGACCCGCCTGGGCAGCGAGACCTCATCTCTACAATAAATCAAAAAATCAGCCGGGCGTGGTAGCGCATGCCTGTAATTCTGGCTACTCGGAAGGCTGAGGTGGAAGGATCGCCGGAGCCCAGCAGGTCGAGGCTGCGGTGGCCGGGAGTGGCCACTGCACTCCAGTCTGGGTGACAGAGTGAGACTCCAACTCAAAAAAAAAAAAAAGAAAATGGATTTGCAGGTTCCTCTGGCATGCTTTATGCAAACAAAGACAGTAATCGTGGGCTTCAAGCCCATTTCTGCAGCATAGACACTCCATTTCTTGGGTTTCTTCCTTGGGTGTGATAGAAAGCTATAAAATACTACTTATGTCATGCTGCAACTATGACAATTAATGCTTTTATGGAGGCACAAATACTCATGGTAATGATTATAGTCTGGCTTATGTGTGTTGATGATCAAATATCTTGAAGAGAGTCTCAACCAGCTCAATAAAATGGCTTTTGGTGTTCTTTTTAAACTTACTTTAAAAATCAAGTCATTATTTTCCATTTTAAAGATATATACCCACAGTAGATTCTGTCCCGTGGCATATGTTCAGAGTCCTGAGACTTTGCATTTTTGTTGCATTTTGAATTTATATACAAACGTGCCACATTTGGTCAATGATGGACTGCATATGTGATGGTGATTCTATACGATTACAATAGAGCATATACATAAATCTGATAATATTATATGATAAAGGGATCAATTCAATGAGAAGGCATAGCAATGTTAAATATATATTCGCCTAACACGAGAGACCCTAGCTTTATGAAACAAATTTTACTAGACCTAAACAAAGAGATAGACAGCAATACAATACTTGTGGATGACTTCAACACTCCACTGACAGCAATAGACAGATTATCAAGGCATAAAGTCAACCAAGAAACATTGGAGTTAAACAGGACTCTGTAGGAAATAGAACCAACAGACATCTAAAGGACAATCCACCCCAAAATTACAGAATATACAATTATTTCATCAGCACATGGAACATTCACCAAGATAGACCATATGATAAGTTACAAATCAAGTTTCAATAAATTAAAAAAATCAAAATCAAATCAAGTACCTTCTCAGACCACAGTGGAATAAAACTAGAAATTAACTCTAAGAAGAACTCATGAAACCAAACAAATACATGGAAGTTAAACAATTTGCTCCTGAATGATTCTGGCATCAACAATGAAATCAAGATGAAAATTTAAAAATTCCTGGAAACAAATGACAACATTGTATCACATTATCAAAACTTCTGGGACACAGCCAAAACTGTGCTCAGAGGAAAATTTATAGCACTTAAGTCCTACATTAATAAACCTCCAAATTGCTATTAACAACCTAACATTACACCTTAAGGAACTAGAAAAACACAAACAAACCTAACCCAAAGCTAGCAGAAGAAATTAATGAAGATTAGATTAGGACCAAGTAAAATTGAGATAAAAAAATACAAATGATCAATGAAACAAAAAGATTCTTTGAAAAGATAAACAAAATTGGTAGATCACTAGCTAGATTAATTAAGAAATGAAGAGAGAAGACTCAAATTAGCTCAATCAGAAATGAAAAGGGAGACACTACAACTGATATGATGGAAAGTCAAGAGATCACCCGAGACTATTATGAACACCTCTATGCAGATGAACAAGACAATCTAGAGGAAATAGATACATTCTTGGAAACATACAATTCCCCAACTCTGAATCAAGAAGAAATAGAAACCCTGAGCAGACCAATACTGAGTAGCAAGATTAAAACAGTAATTAGAAGTTTCCCAACAAAAAAAAAGTCCACAACCTGATGGCCTCACAGCTGCATTCTACTAGACCTTCAAAGAAGAACTGGTACCAATTTGACTGAAGCTATTCCACAAGATTGAAGGGAGGGAATCCTCCCTAACTCATTCTACAAGGCCAGTATCACTCTGATACAAAAGCCAGGAAAAGAACCAAAAAAGAAAACTACAGACCAATATCCCTTATGAACATAAACACAAAAATCTTCAACAAAATATTGACAACAGCACATTAAAAAAATAACAAACTGTAACCAAGTGGATTTTAAGCTAGGGATAAAAGTGTGGTTCAACATACACAAGTCAATAAATGTGATCTACTACATAAACAGAATTAAAAACAAAAATCAGATGACCATTTTAATAAATGTGGAAAAAGCACTTGATAAAATCCAGCATCACTTCATGACAAAAACTCACAGGAAAACAGGAATAGAGGAGACATTCCACAAAATAATAAAAGCTATATATGAGAAACCCACAGTCAATGTTACCCTGATGGAGACAAGTTGAACACATTCCCCCTCAGAACTGGAACAAGGCAAGGAGGTCTACTTTCACCACTACTATTCAACATAATACCAGAAGCCCTAGTCAGAGTAATCAGATAATACACAGAAATAAAGAAAGGGTATCCAGATTGGAAAAGAAGAAATCAGACTATTTCTGTATGCTGATGATATGATCTTAGAACCTTAAAGACTCCTCCAAAAGACTCCTGGACTTGATAAAATAATAAACTTGGTAAAGTTTCAGAATACAAAATCAACACACACAAGTCAATAGTACTGCTGTACACAAATAGCGACCAAGTTGATGATCAAATCAAAAACTCAGTTCCATTTACAATAGCAGCCAAAAAATTAGGAATATATTTAACCAAGGAGGTGAAAGATCTCTACAAGGAGAACTACAACACTCTGATGAAAGAAATTGCAGCGGACACAAACAAATCGAGATACATCCCGTCCTCATGGACTGGAATAATCAATATTATTAAAATGACCATATTACCCAAAGTAATCTACAGATTTAATGCAATCCCTATCAAACTACCAATATCAGCGTTCACAGAAGTAGAGAAAACAATCCTATAATTCATATGGAACCCAAAAAGAGTCAGAATAGTAAAAGCAATTCTAAGCAAAAAGAATGGAGCTAGAGGCATTCGATTACCTGATATCTAATTATATTACAAGGCTGTAGTAACCAAAACAGCATGGTACTGGTACAAAAGCAGACGCATGGACCAATGGAACAGAATAGAGAATCCAAAAAACCCCCCAAATACCTACAACCAACTGATCTTTGACAAAACAGACAAAAACATACACTGGGGAAAGGACACCCTATTCAACAAATGGTCCTGGGAAAACTGGATAGCTACATGCAGAGAAATGAAACAATCCCTATCTCTCCCAATATACATTAATTCAAGAGGGGTTAAAGGCTTAAACGTTAGACCTGACACCATAACAATCCT